TCTTTATTATGTACTATTAATTTCGCCATTACTGCCAACGTGAAGATGGTGAAAATCGAACTTTATTGAGTTTTCATAAATCAGAAAAAGGTTTCACAAATCCCAAACATGGTTTTAAATATTCTGCTATTAGAGAAGAATAGTGTAGTCCAGGTTTGAAGTGTCTAGGTGTAGTAGTTTTTAAACTAGAGTTAATTAAAGATGCGGAAAGTAGTGAAAAATTAAGTGGAATTGCCCTTTAGCTATTGGAAGCTAGAATTGGAAACCAACTTCAGCTTCGTATTATACATCAGATCTCTTAACATGGACAAAAACATTAAAGGCTCTCAAGTAAAAGGCATGGCAGTTTTAGCTAATGTTGGACCCATGAGCCCATGTTAACATTAGCATATTAGCCTGCAAGGAGTTTTATGCATCATCTTTTACAAGAAAAATAAACCAGTAACAATATATATGAGTAGTAAAGGCATATGACACATGAAAACATACTAAAGAGGAATAACTCACCTTTAAAGAAGTTCTGCTTCTTCTTATGTGCAAGTCCACAAACATTCTGGAAGCTTCCCGCACTTTATTACACATGCGCACTGCTGAAGTGAAGCATTTGCTCCAGTAACAAAAATATTCAAATCCAGTTTACTCAAAATAACTTAGTCTTGTACCTTTCTCAGGCCAAAACATGTATGTTACTCACATTATTTGAGTTGAATTAACATTTTAGTGAGATTTAAGTAAAGCATACAAACCTAATTTAAGTAAAAACAGGTATTGCATTTTAGAGTGTATTTATTTAGGTTATCAGCATCTGAAACATTTAAGTGAGGCAAAGAAAACAAAGAAAAACCTAGAAGAAATCTGTAGAGGCCAAATGAATGAAGAAAAACATAAATCAAATCAAATTAAGTAAATCACAAAGGTTAACCTGTTCAGGTTTCCCTTTCATTTTTCTATGATCCTGCAATAAATCAACCAAAGAAATAAAACTAACCTTGTACAATCTGCTACTTAGGCCCTGGAAGTGACTGTGTCTGAACTTTTAACTTGATGTTTAATTACACAGGTTTCTATCAGATGTGTTTGAGCAACTTCCACAACCGCTTCAGCACAATGCAGGTCTTTCTCAGCTTCGGCGTTTACTATGACAACCAGAACTCTTCCAAGGGGGACATGAAGGAGGAGTTGAACAACACACTGAGCTTCATTCAGGTCTCTTCATTTTCTCTGGGAAATTCACTTTACTGCAAATAAATACATTTTCTGTTCAGATGTGAGCAGAACATATTTATAACATTTATAACATATAGACATTGTTATAAATGTAATTTTCATTCACCTGAAAATCATGTGTTCATGCTTTGCTTGTAGAGCAAATATTCAGCAAATTTTCAAGAATTAATCTGTGAGTATTTACAAATATTGATAAGCACATTTTACACATTTATTATATGACTAGTTAAACTGTGTGGTGTGTTTAGAAATGTGTCTGTTTATATAAAGAAGCTGTCTGCTAAAAAAAAAAAATACACTGGGACAAAAGCTAGAATTTTCTTTTTTTTAAGATTTTGAGAAACATTAAAGGCTATTAAAACTTTCTACTATTATAAAGTTTTCTAATGGAAAAAAAGAAAAACAAATCTATGTAGATGGTCTGGCTGCACAGAAGTCTCTGTTCAACATGACATGTCATCTCAGGGTCCTACAAAGTAAAACCAGTAAACATCAGTTCTAAGTCTAATGCCAACTGATTACTCAGATCTGTTGCATTAGGCCTTTAAAATTATGTGAAAAAATTCCCAAAATAATTTAAGCATGAGCATGGATCACACATTTAACACACACAATTATATATCATAGAAAAGCACGATATCATTAAATATATAGATCCAAACAGAAAAGTATTTTTTTTATGGGAAGTGTTTTTTTATTTGTTCTGACATTTTTAGGCTGCCACCAGTAAAGTGGAGCGCCACGTCTTCCACATGTTCCGCTACTACAGCTTCAGCCGCATGAGGAGGAGCGCAGACCACTTCCTGCTGCAGTCCAACTCCCGCTACATCACATGGTGGTCGATGGCCCTCAGCCTGGTGATCGTCACTTCTGGGTACCTGCAGCTCCTCTTCCTCAAAAGCCTCTTTGTGAGCAAAGCTGAGGCTGAAAAGCCTCGATGCTGATAGGCAGCGAACGAACCAAGAAACATGCTAAGCAGACTCCAAACCTCTCCTGGTTCTGGGTCCATGTGAAACATTAAAGAAATGTTCTAAAAACCTCTAATTAGAATTGTTTTTAATTGACAATTATATCTGTTTTTTTTAAACAGATAAATAATAGTTATAATAACAACTATTATTAGTTTTTTCTTTCTTTTCCAACAATCCCCTCTCCAGAAATTTGGCATGGTTCAACATTCAGGTGCAGCTTTGCTTCATGCCAGCTCAACAGGAACATCTAAACTCATTTTAGAAACTGAAACGCCTCTATAGCTTCATTTAGGTAAAATATTTCAAGTCTCTATTCCATACGATTTTAATGATTATGGTCACGGAAGTGATTGTAACAGGAAATTTTAATATTGTAATAATATTGTTATTACAATATTAATATTTTTTATTATTACAATTTTAATATTGTAATATTTTAAAATCGTGAAAAGTTAAATATTGGAAACACCTGGTGTTACATGCTGATCAGTTAATACACTCAAACACCTGCAAAGTTTTCCTGAGCCTTTAAGACCTCTCAGTCTGGGTCAGATGAGGAAGACTGCCAGTTGTAACAACTGTCTTTTCCATAGAAAGTTGAGTGGAAGGAAAACGTGCGACAAGTTGGACTAGTAACACGCATAACTGTCAAGCAAAACCTTTTCAATGACTTGGAAGAGCTTCACAAAGACTGGACTGAGGCTCGAGTCGGGTCATTAACTTGGATCCAAAAGAGCTGAGCAGAAATAGATGTTGACTAACCTGAATAAGCTGAATAAGTTTGGATGAAGTGTGGACAATTTCATCCAAACATGGGGAGCCTTAACTGAAGCTACTTAAAGTTTATTTGGGGCCAGTGTTTAGCGAATTCCCCCAGACACAACTTGTCAATTTGGCTTCATCTTTATAAAATAGAAGAAAAAAATTGGTTTCATGGTTTGTACACATGAAATTAGGTTGAACTTTTCTTAGATTTTGAAAAAGACCAGAATGTTTTTATTCTGTCCTGAAACATGAAACTATAGAACTAAAGTAGGGTTGGCTTTCTCTCTAAAGATACTAAAAACGTCTGCAGATAGCGACGTGCAACATCTGGACTGACTGTAGACACAAACAGACTCATTTTTAACACAAACCAGGTTTGTTTTACTTCAAAAAAACATTAAAATATCAGGGTGACAAATGAAATTGATTTATAAAAATAGATTTCATCAAAATGTATTTTATTGAATATTTTGGGTGTAAATAAATAAGGCACATTCAACAGTTTTAACTTTCAGTCCTGAAATGAAAATAATGCATTAGAATAATTAAAACACTAACAGCAGGCTGTCACAGTCTGAGCTTAGACCAGAAAAAAGGTCTGGCTCAGTAGGATTTCCTAAAGGTCTGGAGAAAAAACTCACAGGAACAAACATGATGGACGTCCTGCGTGAGACTGACTGCAGAGCTCAGCATCAGGCAGTAAAACAGGAGGGAACACATACAGTACCGAGGCTGTCATCATGGTGGAACACAGCTGAGGATAAACATGGTTCACATGCAAACAGATCCCTCCACTACAGAGCTGCCTGGAGCAGCATCCTATCAGACATCAGCTCCACCTCCAGATTAAAGCCTGAGTTTCCAGCAGCAGATATCAACATGTTTTCTGATTTATCATGAGAACCCCTTTATGTATTTTTACTATGTCGTGTTTTGGTGCCTCGGGTCTCTGAAACGCACATCAGAAGTTATGCAAGGATGGCAAGTCTATGAAACACTTCATAACTGAGTTCTAGTGTCAATGAAGTAAACTCACTTTAAACTCCAGGGGCGTATGTATTTTGATCATATCTAGAGTTTCTGAAGTGAACTTTTAATAAATATGTTGGCTGCAAATTGATTAATAAGTAGTGATTTAATGTAGATGGTTTTTATACAGTTTTGGACATTTAAACTTCAACATTTCTAAATGAAAAGAGAGGATGTACTTCCTTTTCCCATGTGAATGTGTTGCTGCTGAGCTGGAGCAGCAACATCATTTTCTGTCATCAGCTGACAGAAAACTCGGTCTCTGACCACTCTGACTAATATCCTCACAGCAAGCCGAGTCAGCACAGAAAGTCAATGGAGAAGTTGCAAATTGCAATGAAGACTCATCAGTACAACTGAGCAGGGAACAGAATGAAACCGACTAATGCTTATGAACAATAATAGTTGACATCTTGTAGTCATAGTTACATCTGGTCTTGAGGACAAATAAAACACTAAGCACCGTTTTGAAATAAAATTTGATGTTCGGTTTTAAACTGAACTCTAGTCAGACAGTGTGAAGCCAACATGAGGAAACGGGCTGTATCCCTTTTTCCCATTAGAGGTTCTATGGGTCAGACGTGGTCACAGGGTTCAGATGTAGCAGCTTGATTCAAACAAACACAATGTAACAGTTTTAGTTCTCCAACTAGGATATGATAATCAGGATATTTGAAGAAAGTTTCATCTCTTCTCTCATTCCTTTACTTTTTCAGTTCTGGTACTTTCATACAGGCTTCCTGGTGCAACATGGCTCCACCTACTGCTGGATGTTTTGTCAATTTGTGCCATTTGGGGATTGTTTTATACTTGCAAACATCTGACTCAGACTAGTTCTAGAAAATTTTATTATTTCATATTAACCAAGAGTGAAATATCTGTTATATTTTAGAAGAGTCAAGTGGCTAAAACTGGGATAAGAGCAGGAGTAGCACACCCAGATATCAATATACAATTGAATAAATTATATGCAAAACTTTGAGCATTTTCCTAAAAAATTCAACTCCATAATCTATGAAAAACTCAGCAGAGAAAAGTACAGGAAGGGGGAGAGCTGAGACTTATGTGACAGCTGGATTTAATTTAGTAACATGTTGTAAGAATGATCTATCAGTATTTCATCATGGATTATTTCATGTCTCATGATATTAAAGGTAAGTTAGTAAAAGAAATCCCAGAAACAAACTGGAGATATTGTTTTTCCACCAGACTTCCACACACAACGTTACATCAAGCTGCAGAAAGTCGAGTGGGAGAGGATTGTAGGATGGATTACACCGTTTGACATGAAATGTTCCTTTTTTCAAATTGGGAACCTTTCCTAAGTTGATGAAGTAAATTCAGACTGAATCAGAATGGAAACAGAAGGAATAAGGTGGAGTTTTGTGGGCAGAACCAGCGTACCAGTGTATATCCACCTCTGAAATCTAGTAAAATATTGCATATGTGTAAAAAGGTCCAACAGTGCATCCACAAAACAATCAAAGAAAGTGACCTAAATCTAAAAGCTGGGGCAAATAAAACCAGATCACAATGCTGTGACCCAACACATTGTGCTTTAAACTGGTAGAGTTGTGTGAGAAATCCCCTTTTCCTCCTGCAGTGATGCAGATTTGTGTTGAAGAACAGTCATGTCAATAACCCGCCTGGAGGTCACCCCTGCAGAGACCGGCCGGGGTTTTGCTGCACAGTGAGCTCGGCTCACTGTGGGTTATTTCATGTAAGCTAGGCTGTGTGCGCAGTGAGCTTGGCTGTGTGTGACACACAGCCATTTAGAGGAGGGGGTAATGATTGTGCCGTCGCACTGCCCCACCAGCTGCTGTCACAGCACTAAATGGTCAGTCAGTTTCAGAGTGGGCTGGGGGGTGAGCTGGCTCTGGGGGTAGTGCCCCACCATCCAGGGTATGACAACGAACCAGGGGCCGCTCCTTTAGACGAGGTGAGAAGTCAAGGCTTCCTAAGTGGCTGATCTCCCCTCGCCTCAGCCTCCTCCGCTCTGGGTTCACCTGCTAGACAAACACACACTTCCTGTCAGTCTTTAGTTTTGTTCTATAGTGCTGTATAATAATTGTAAAAAAATAAAGCTGACTACTTCGTGGCTTTCGCCTATTGTGGTTTATTTTTGGAACGTAACTCCTGCGATAACTGTGTGTCAAATATGACTTAAAAGAAATTTGACTTCACAATTTAATGTCTTGAAATTGGGCCTCTGTCTCTTTAAGAAGCTCCCAGCTGTTTCTGACAGTCGGCTTTCAGCACATCATCACAACGCCGTTACTCTATTGACCCTTTAATGCACTGAGAAGTAGATTGTATAATGAGCTCAACAGATGTGCAGTTCCACCTGGTGTTTGCTAACTGCTGCTGCTAGTCTGAAGGAGCTGAGTGGAGGAGTGATGCTCTGTGAGGAGGAAGCTTGGCTGGAGACTGCAGCTCCATGAAGCAACTTTAAAAGACAGAGCTCTGCTAGCCTGAGTGGTTTCCATAGAAATGAAAGTATTCCCAAACATGCATGAACAAATCAAAGTAACACTACAGGTTTGTTTTTGATTAGGCAATAACATAACATGATGTAAAAGCTAGAAGAAAAAAATATTTCACATAATACTGCCCCTTCAGTAAATTATGCCATCTTGCAGTAATATAAACACAAAAGTTTGTATTTCTACTGGTAATGGGACTTGATTAAAAAAATTAATAAAGTTAATTACAGAATCTCTAATTTATGAACTGAATTAATTCAAAACTATAATGTTTATTTAGTCAAAACTATTGACTAAGTAAACATTTTCTTCAACCTTCAGATTCCTATGAAAGTCATTCAGCTTTTCAGTGTTTCATGATCCTGATCACTCCTGATCAGTCAGTCTTCATTACAGAGGGAGATAGGATGTACCTGGTTAAGAAATGGTGGACTCCTGGGGGGAGAACCAGATGAACCTTGTCTCATGTGCTGCATTCTAAAGCAAAAAAAAAAAAAACATACAAAAATATTAATGATAATGTGCATCGTTGTTAATCTTATTAAACTGTCTCTGAATGTGAAGGATGTGTTGGGATCCACCTGCTGGCAGACTGAGCCAGTTTGTGTCTCCGGCCATTGGAATTATCCTGCAGCTTCAAGCGCTGCACCAATGTATGAGCTGCAACACAGGATGAGCAGGGCAGAGCTGACACAGGGTGCTAACACATCTGAACAGTTAAACAGTTGCGGTGGTTAGCAGGTTAATGTTACCCAGAGCCCCTTTGGGGACAGAGAGGAGTTTGATTGGTTCAGCCTCTGGTGAAAGTCCTGACGCTTTCTGCAGAGCTCTTAAAGTTTCAGTGTTCTGTTGAAAGATGAAACAGGAAAGCAGAATGTAATGTGCCACGTAACAGGAGACTGATGACACTCTGGAGAAATGTGAACAATTTATGGGCCACAAACACACACAAATGTTTGGACTTCTACTGGTAGTTAGACTTGATTAAAAGTCTCAATAAAGTTAATTGAAGATTCTCTAAATTCGATATCTATATATCTACCTCTATATATCTATGTATCAGTGACGTGTGGGGGTAGGCAGGTGAGGCAGAGCCCCACCTGTCATCATGGAAGAATAGTAATAAAATCATTTATATTGCTATTTTCACCCTGTGGTTTGTACTATAAAGTACCTATTTTTTACTTTAGCGTAACCAATTCCGATTATTGGTTACGCTAAAGTATTTTCTTCAAAATCGCTGGATTTTCGCATTTTCCCATTCAAATGCTCAGAAGCGAAGCCAGTGAGGTGAGGATGCGCAACCTCTCGCTAACTGAAAGCGTGGACCTCTTTCCCTTTGCTGTGGATCATAGCACGAAATTCCCTTCATTTCAAAGTTTCACTGAGTTAACGCGGCTATAGATGACATGTAAAAGATTAGTCTTTTTGCCTCCCAGCGTTGTATGCATGCGCGAAATTTCCGTACGTCCAATAACATGCATGGTGTCTATATAAGTCGTAAGTCAGTGCCTCACCATATATATATATATAT